GCGATTTATAGACGATACATGCAATAAAATAACTAATACATGAAATTATATAAATTGCTAAAATATAATAAAAATAAATAAATAAAATAAAACATAAATATACACAATTACATACATACATACATACATACATATATATATATACATATATATATATATATATATATATATATATATATATATATACAAACGCACCTTTGCACTCGAGTTCTGTCGGGGCACGAAGCTCACACCTCTTGGAAAAAGCGTTAACTAACGACCGCCGACGTAGCAGGTTTGTCGCTCAATTGTTACGTCTGTGGGCGATGAGTTCGTCACTTTTTATTATTATAAGGGGTATGTACGTAGTTTTTTCATCTGGTTGACTTTATAAATATATAAGTGTAAATGAAAATGATAAATATACATAAATATCAATATAAAATAAATACATAAATAAATAAAAATTCAACCAGATGGAGGTCCTTGACAGAGGAGACAAAGCGCCCGAGAATGAAGGAAAGGGAAAGAAATTGGAGGACGATGTGGGCGGTATCGAGATGCACTGCCTACTGCATTTGAGCTTGGAGTGGTCCGTCACAGATTCGCAGTCGCCTCAGATATCCCGAGAGGCTGACTGTTGTTTGCATAGTTATATTCGATTTAATACTAAGAACAGCTTCTACCTTAGGATAGAAGTAATCTACCATAGAGGTAGGTAATCTTGCCTTACTTATATCGTTCTTTATTACTGTGAATTTTTTATGGCTATTGACGGTGTCTTTCTAAATATTAATAGTTTTTCATTAAGACAATCGAATAGAATCGAGTAATTTTTATTCAATATAGATTATTACACAATACTTATCATAGTATATTTAAACTATGAACATTTTTATTCTTATGAATGCTTTGAATAAAACTAAATTTGCGGATTCTATCGCGTTTATTTAACTGATTTTATATTATTTACTTATTTTTAATTCCCGACGTTTCGGGTGCTTTACAGCACCCATGGTCAAGGGGGGGGCCTAAGATATTTGACGTCGCAATGTCATTGTTAGCCCGGCTACCTTCAGTTTTTGAATATCAATTTTTGGTCCGATTTACGTAAAACGAACTTACAGTATCTTGAAGTCTTGCAGTGGTATGCTTGGGTTTGGGTTTGATTTTGTTAATTATAGGATCCCAAGCAGATGGTAGCATTTACCATCTTCTCTATTGAAATGAGGATGTTTTTTTAATTTCAATAGCCTCACGTATCATCCTTGGTAGGAATCGGTGTTCTTTTGCGAGGATTTGTGGTTTATCAAATCTGATGTAATGATGGGGACGGTCTTGAACATGTTCACAGACTGCAGACTTCCCGGAGCATCGGTGCTTCACGTCAGCTATATGTTCTTTCACGTGGGTTTTAATGGATCTTTTTGTTTTACTTATGTCTAAAAGAAGCCTGCCTGTTAATATTCTATGGGGCCCCATTGAAGCTTTGCGTTATTGTTTATACCAAGAAAACAGTGATATCCACAAGACTAAACTCTTCCCCATTTAAGAGTATATTGGTATTTGAATGTTTAATATTATGTATTGTAAATTTAATATATTTTCTCTAACTTCCGTTTAAAAGCAAATTGTTGGAGTTAAACTAATGTAATAATTTCAATATGGCTTTATTTATATTGTCAAAATTAATTGGCATTCGTTTGAGTTTGACAATTAAACAGATATTATCTGCAAATAATACCATATCGCGATTATCCCATACAAGATAAGGTAAGTCATTAATATAGACTTAGAACAGGAATGGGCCAACAATCGAGCCCTGAGGAATGCCCTGATACTGCTGACCTGGAAGAACTTTTCCAAATTTTAGAGTTCTGTTATTTAAATATAAAATAATAAGTTTAAGTGCAATATTTTTTACACCGTAATATTGTAGTTTCCTGATTAATACCTCATGAAGAACACAATTAAAATCATTGGAAAGATAACAAAAAATACGTAAGGCATCTTGCGAACTCTTCCAGACAGTAAAAATATATTTCATAAGCTCAACATCTACGTCAGTCGTCGAGCGACCCCTTGAGGAACCAAATTGAATTTATGCAGTAATTTATTTTTATAAAAAATAACAATTATTCTAAAATTATCTTTTCAAAACATTTACTGAGAGTTGGTGGTACAAAAATAAGTCTAAAATTAGCGGGGTCCAATGTACTACTAGATTTAAATACAGGTATTACTTTACTGTTTCATTAAATCAGGATACATGCCAGATTCGATACTAGTATTAAAATAATAACAAGATGAGGTGCAATTAAATCTATTATGGATGCAATAACTGTAACGGAAATCATACTTTTTCATATCTTAATTCTTTCAAACGGTTATTAACATTCAGTTTTAGAAATGAATTAGCGACAATTGGGTGACTATTCAATGGCTTTTTTGTCAAAATAGGAATTTCAGTGGAATATTTCTCAAATATCGCTGCAACTATTAATTTTCAATTGATAATTTGTATAACGAAGTTTGTCTTTACCGGTTTTGCTATTGATTATACTCCACGTCATTTTAATTTAATTTTTAGCGGTTTTAATTTTGTTACTAATATGTAAAACTTTGGCTGCGAAACACACTCTTTTAAAATTTTTAGTATAATTTTGATGTATTCTCTAAAGTATCGGAAAGATTATATGATCTTACGATCTTTCATGGTAAAGAGTTCATATAATCTTCGTTTGCTCCTATGAATTCTGTCGCGCACTCATTAAATTATGAAATGCAAATGCCTTGTGACTGTTACTGGAGAATGTTTTCGATGTAAATGTTTTAATAAATTTATTGTTTGTAAGGGTAAATATTACTCCATATAAATGATCTGAATTGTTTTTGTAAGAAAGCGATGGAAGGTTTTTTACCTTTAAATCACTCCAGGCGTTTTGCATTATTTGGAACAAACACAATTTTCTCTTCTTTTGAAGCCGTGGTAGCTCAGTGGTTAACGCTCGCTGTAAATATAACTGAACGCGAGTAACCCGGGTTCGATCCCCGCCGGCACCAATGAAATCGTTAATTGCAATTTTAAGTGCTGATTTACCACGTGCTCGGCGGTGAAGGGAAAACATCGTGAGGAAACCTGCATGTCTGAAGAATAAGAAAAAAAAATCTTTCGAAGACATGTGAAGTTCGTCAACACGCATTTGGGCAGCGCGGCGGACACTTCCTTGCCCTAAACCCTCTCAGAAATGAGGGGAGGCCTGAGCCCAGCAGTGGGACGTATATAGGCTGTAACTTTAACTTTTTTTTTTACAATTTTCTCAACTTCCTGCTTTTGTATATATATTGTAATAAACCAGTTTTCCATAATGATCTAAACTTAGTTTTGAATTATGAATTTCTTGATTGGCACAACATCTGAAAAAATATTATCAATAAAAGTTGCACTACACCCTGTAAGTACGTGTAGCTCACGGAGTAAAATTTGCTCCGTGGTGTAGCTTCAAATAATAAATTTTCAAGATTGAATGATTTAAAAAATAAGCAAAACTTAATCCTGAAAAAGGAGCTTCCAGAGATATTAAAGTCTCAGCATACTTCAAGATACAACTTTGACTCCTCTTAAATTATGATGTTGTTTCTTTCACCTTTTGGAACATTTATTGATAGCTTGGTATATACGGGATAATCATTTACGGTCTGGAAAAAAATAGGTTGTTACAGGTGAACGGAATTAAAACCCATGGCACCTATATTTTACAATATTTTGCTTTTATAGTAAGATATTATTAAATTGAACAATTAATAAATACCACTAATTTGAAATATACTTTCATTTATTAAAAATAAACGAAAATGTTGTATTGAATAAATAAATCCATTAAAAATAACAAAATCAAAATAATACGCACCAAATAAGTAGTATTTATTGATAGATCTATTTCATAACATGTTAATGTAAAAAAATGTTAACATATTAAATGTTACACCCCATTTATTTCCATAAGGTTAAAACAATCACTCAGTATATAAACCAAAACAGTGTTGTCTAACTTAATCGAATCTTTAGCTTAACATTGCAATTAAGTATCAAGTTACGACTTATGTCAGAGGAACTAATTGGCGATAATCACATCGATAACACTCAGAGTTTGAAACTCTTAACCCTCTATCACTCGCGCGTTTTTTTATCACCGCGAGAACTCGCGAGGTGTTGCGGCCACCCCATAAACTTGAACTAGATTTATAGACATACGGTTGCTGTAAGTGCAATTATGAAAACATTTTATTCATTTTTATGGTTTGTGGTATAAAATAAAAAATAGAAATTTTGATAATCATTTTTTTAATTATTTTTTACAAAACAGACTTTTTGTTCAAAATATTGAGACTATTCCTCAAAAAGACTAAATAAAATTAACTTCTTACATTCTAACAAATATTTTTTTATCAAAAACCAATTTTAAGGAGTGCTTGACGAGTTTGCAAAATTGTTTCTCATTCTTACTACATGAATCGCAAATAAACTTCATATGTTTTTGGCACATAGATTTTTTACAAAAATTACAGTGGCTCATTGTTTTTATGTCTTTGGAACGAGGACAAACTATGCATCGCTGCTTTTTTGTCGGTGACACTCCTTCAGAACTTAGCCCAGGAGCATTCAACATTCTCTTGAGTGCTCTCGGTAACGAAACTTGAGTAGATCTCTTTTGAATTTGTCCTTGAACCATACTCAAACCAACAGATTTCAAAAACTCAGTTCGTTCCATTTTTGGTTGGGTTTGCGCGACGTTACAATTATGGATAACATAAGCATTGATACCAGAAGTATTCAGAATGTGAAAAAAAAAACCTCAGTGGCCATCGTGAACATATCCTTGAAACACTATAGTTACCACACATTTGGTCAGCCGTATCAACGCCACCTTTTGTTTCATTGTAGAATAAGACTATTTCTGGTTTTTGCTCATTAGTGGCTGTTTTGATAATGTTGTCATTATTGTCATGCATTGTAGATATTAGTAATACATTTTTTTCTGTTTAGGACAATATGATACAAGAGTCAATGGCAACTTGTAGTGAAACCCGAATATAGAAGTTCCAACTTTTTGTTGGTTGACAAAAGCTGTGGGGAACTCTTTTTTATTTTTTCGCAATGTACCTACCACCGTTATTTTATTTTTCAACAGTTCTTCTGCTAACGGGAGGTTAGTGTACCAATTATCACAAGTCAGATTCCTTCCAGAACCTAAAATCGGTGTACATAATCGCATTACTATATCGGTTGGCTTGTAGCTCACTTTGTAAGGTCCATTTGGTTGTTGACCTAGATATGGCTCACTTTGATAAGTGTAAAATGTCTTTGCATCGCATAATGCAAAATTTTTCAAACCATATCGCCCGGGCTTACTTGGTATATATTGCCGAAAAATACAGCGCCCCCGAAATTTCAGTAATTGTTCATCTATCGTGAAGTTTTCGTTGAGACTATAATTTTCAATACAATGATTGTTGAATTGCGTAAAAATGAATCTGATTGGGGAAAATCTGTCTGTAGCTTTTCTTGACTCACGAGTGTTTACATCATCAAAGCACAAACATTTTAGAAGGAAAGAAAACCTGTTGTAGCTCATAGTTTTGTAAAAAATTGCAATGCCTAATCTAGACTCATCCCACAAATCTTGAAGCTTTCTATGACTAGACTTACACAACTCAGACAGGATTAGTAAACCAATCAAAGCTTCTATTTCCGTTTGATCGGTCTTTTTGCAATCTCTTTCACGTGCGTATTTACTGCTAATTTTCTCAATATACGTATTTGTGCAAGTGGTTATCTCTGCTATCATATCATCGGTAACATAAAGTTGAAAACACTCAAGTGGAGATTTAGAAAACTTAGCCATACCTTTTGGACCTGGAGCTTCAGACATTATATTTTGAGAACGGGTTCTTACTGCAGTACGTCCCTTTACTTTGAACCACTTAGTTATTTTATCCTTAGCTAAGAAGAAGCGCTCCTGAGTTTCAGTCTCTTCTGCCTCAGATTCTTCTGACAATGAAGCATTCTGCTCTGACATTGAATCATGATCAGATTCTTCAACGTAATCATCATCGATGCTGGCATCACTTTCGACGGCAACGTTGTCTTCATTGTCCGACATCACAGCTTCCAACATAGCTCTCCAGCTTGCTTGCTTAGACTCCCAACTCATCTGAGAAGAAAATTTAACACAAAAATATCTAATATTCATGTCTATTATTATTGTTCACACATAAATCAGATAACTTACATACATTTACACTAAATTCTAATGAAAAAAGGTTAAAAACAACTTACCTTGCTGTTTTAGTAAATATGAAAAAGTATAGCACGAGAACTCGCGGGGTGTTGTGAGCACCCCACGCAAACTTTGACACGTCCTTGCGTTGCAAGCGCAATCGCCACACTGCTCCTCCCACCTCGATTCGTCGCGGTTGATTGTTATTTGAAGCTATTTAGACGCATACGCTCATGAACAAACAAATAGGCATTAATTTTTACGTTTGAAAATCTCTGGGGTGCTGTTAGCACCCCGCGCGAGTGCTCGCGGGTTAATACGTGCATTTGATATACATCTGTATATATTTTTTGTTGTTGCAGAAAATACCACAGATTAAAATAACTTTGGAGTTGCTATATAAGCAAAATTGTCGACGAATTCATTGTTTTCTTTTGCTATTATAAGCAAGTGTTTAACTATTATTTCATTTGATGTTAAGTGTTGATTACCTTGAATACGGATGTATTCAAGGTAATCACCACTTAACAATATAGTCAGATGGAGCCGATGGTAAAAAACATTCAATACATGTTTCTAGGGAGATGTATCACTAAACGTGATTTAAATTAATCATGTACAATAAAATAAAATTAATACCTCATAAAAAAATAAAGAAAATAAATTTACCACATACTATGTAGGCAATGTAATAATTTTTAACCTTGTGGATTCAATAACTAAGTTTTGAAAACAGTATACATGTAATCTAACCTAAATAAGATCGTCTAAACATGCGCAACGAAATAAATCTTAACATTTTACACTTTACATTAACTAGTTATTATATGCATAGATAGAAATTTATGATAGCAATAGTTGTGCTTCGGTTTTCGACACGTGATAAGACCAAAGCTATTTGCTACTCAACGTTATATTATTATTGGGGTATCTATATAATTTTCTCATCTGGTTGGGTTCTATAAATATATAATTATAAATTAAAATGAAAAGATAAATATACATAAATATCAATAAAATAAAATAAATACAAAAACTACATAAATAAATAAGATCCAACCAGATGGGAGCCCTCGGCAGGGGAGACCAAACGGCCGAGGGTTAGGGGGAAAGGGAAAGAAACCGGCGGACGATGCGGGCGGTATCGAGGAGCACCGCCTTCTGCATTTGAACCCGGAGCGGTCCGTCACGGAGCCCCAGTCGCCTCAGATGACCCGAGAGGATAACTGGGATTAGCCCATTCGCAGAGACGACTACAGGAATAATTTCGGTCGGCAGACCACCCCACATATCAGTCACCTCGCGAGCCAGGTCCAGATATTTTGTTCGTTTCTCTGTTTCGGCTTTCACGAGGTTCTCGTCATACGGAATGGTAATGTCGATCAAAAATATCCTTGACTGTGCCCGGTCCATCAGCACAATATCAGGCTTATTCGCAAGAATAGTCCTGTCTGTGATGATGGACCGGTCCCAGTAGAGCCTGGCGCGGTCATTTTCGAGCACGGCTTCCGGCAAGTACTTGTAATACGGCACTTTTCGGTCCACGAGACCGTATTTCAGAGCGAGCTCCTGGTGTAGAATTCTGGCTACTAGGTTGTGGCTGTGCAAGTACTCAGAGATAGAAAGCGCCGAACAACCGGAGATGACATGCCAAAGTGACTCCCCGGGATGGCGACAAGCTCGATAGACGTCGACAGTGCCATCCTTTAGGACGTATCTCCGATAGTTGTTGGTCTTGATAACCTGATCCTGTATTGCACAGACAAAACCCTCAGTTTCCCCGAAGAGGTCACCAGTTGCCTGTTGCCAGTTGAGAGAGGCGGCTGTATCTACGTGAGGCCTTCTCCTTCCATACGATCTCCCGGTCGGAAATGCTCTGTACTGCCGGGTCTTGCCATTGTTCGTTGGCTAAGGATAGAGGGGTAAGTCCTTTATCACTAGAAATGACGTCATTATAGAATGGATCATCCGATCTCGCCAGGAAGTAATGACGAAGGCTGCACACTTCGCGATTATGCATGGTGAGCACGCTCAGGAAGCCACGCCCACCATGCTTTCGCGGCAAGTACAGCCTCATTACCGACAATCTCGGATGATGCATCCTATGGGACGTCATCGTAGTGCGGGCCTTTCTATCCAGGGCGTTAAGTTCAGACTGACTCCACCTGAGTATGCCAAAGGTATACATGAGGACAGCCATGACCCAACTATTATATGCATGTGTCTTATTCACACCGGACAAAAGGCTGATAAGCACTTTGGTCAAGCGTGCATAAAACACGACGCAAACTGACTGTTTCATACCAGCCTCATCGATACCGATGTTCTGTGACATACCCAGGTATCGGTATGTTTCAGCCTCAGAAAGGGCCCTTAAGTTGACGGGAATAGATAAGTCTATGCCCTCAGTGTTAGCACGCTTCCCCTTTCAACATGGAGGACCGCACACTTATCCGTCCCCAGCTCCATTCTAATAAAACTGCTAAATTCACAAGTGATGTTTAGCAATTCCATAAGATGGGAGCGACTGGAGGCGGATAACTTGAGGTCATCCATATAGAAAAGGTGGGTTACTTTTGTACCTCCTTTCCGAAGCTAAAATCCCCTCTCGGAGCCCTCCAGTAAAGTACTGAGAGGGTTCAAAGAGAGGCAGAACCAGATTGGACTCAGACAGTCGCCCTGGAATATACCCCTTCTTATCCTTATGCGGCTTTCCGCAGCCGTCATCCGCTCGCCTAGATGACAGAGGATCGTACTCCACTGCCCCATACACTGCTCGAGGAAGTCTAGAACTGTGCAGTCAATCTCTTACAGCTCGAGGACCCTCTTTAACCATGTATGGGGCACCGAGTCAAATGCCTTTCTGTAATCTATCCAGGCGGCGGAGAAGTTCCGACGGTTGCGTTTCACCACTTTTCCAACGACCGCGTCAATGAGGAGTGATTCCTTGGTTCTACGACTGCCGCCTCGACATCCATTTTGAGCGCGCGACATCACCTGATTAGAGTCTTGTATATGGTCGGTAGACACGTGATGGGGCGGTATTTGCTCGGGTCTGTGGCATCCTGATCTTTAAGAACCAAATGAGTGATCCCAGTAGTGAAGAGGCTTGGGAGCGACTTCTGGTTGAGAGCCTCTTGAAACTGTCGGGCGAGCACAGCGTGACAAACTATGAACCCCTTCAGCCAGTAGTGATGCAGCCCGTCAAGCCCCGGACTTTTCCAGTTTGGGGCCATACGGACCGCTTCAGCTACGTCCGGCGTTATTATGACGTGGTCCATGGGCGTAATATCCGTACACTGACTCGCCACAACTTCCTTCCAATGGCCCTCGTTGTGGTTTACGGGCTCTGACCACAGGCTGCGCCAGAATGCGACCGTGTCGGCCTGATTTGGTGCTGGGCCCGTTCCACTTACTATTGGTCGCTCCAATGATTTATAGAGCCTCTTCTGATCCCTCTCTCTCTCTCTCTTCTCTCTCTCTCTCTCTCTCTCTCTCTCTATATATATATGTATATATATATATATATATACTGTCTAATATATGATACCCCACATTATTGTGGGGTATCTATATAGTTTTCTCATCTGGTTGGGTTCTATAAATATATAATTATAAATGAAAATGAAAAGATAAATATACATATATATCAATAACATAAAATAAATATAAAAATACATAAATAAATAAAAGCCCAACCAGATGGAGGCCCTCGGCAGGGGAGACCAAACGGCCGAGGGTTAGGGGGAAAGGGAAAGAAACCGGCGGACGATGCGGGCGGTATCGAGGGGCAGGAGGAGGAGACCGCACGTAGTCCCAGTCGCCTCAGATGACCCGAGAGGCTGACTGGGATTAGCCCGTTTGCAGAGACGACTACAGGAATAATTTCGGTCGGCAGACCACCCCACATGTCAGTCACCTCGTGAGCCAGGTCCAGATATTTTGTTTGCTTGTCTGTTTCGGCTTTCACGAGGTTCTCGTCATACGGAATGGTAATGTCGACCAAAAATATCCTTGACTGTGCCCGGTCCATCAGCACAATATCAGGCTTATTCGCAAGAATAGTCCTGTCTGTGATGATGGCCCGGTCCCGATAGAGCCTGGCGCGATCATTTTCGAGCACGGCTTCCGGCAAGTACTTGTAATACGGCAATTTCCGATCCACGAGACCGTATTTCAGAGCGAGCTCCTGGTGAAGAATTCTGGCTACTAGGTTGTGCCTGTGCAAGTACTCAGAGTTAGAAAGCGCCGAACAACCGGAGATGACATGCCTAAGTGACTCACCGGGATGGCGACAAGCTCGACAGATGTCCACGGTGCCATCCTTTAGGATGTATCTCCGATAGTTGTTGGTCTTAATAACCTGATCCTGTATTGCACAGACAAAACCCTCGGTTTCCCCAAAGAGATCACCAAAGCGTAGCCAGTGGAGGGAGGCTACTGTGTCTACGAAAGGCTCATGTAGAGCCTTGTAGAACCTCCCGTGGAGCTCCTTCTCCTTCCATACGTTCTCCCGGTCGGAAATTGTCTGCAATGCCGGGTCTTGCCATTGCTCGTTGGCTAAGGATAGAGGGGTAAGTCCTTTATCACTAGAAATGACGTCCTTATAGAATGGATCATCCGATCTCGCCAGGAAGTAATTACGGAGGCTGCACACTTCGCGATTATGCATGGTGAGCGCGCTCAAGAAGCCACGCCCACCATGCTTTCGCGGCAAGTACAGCCTCATTACCGACGATCTCGGATGATGCATCCTGTGGGATGTCATGGTAGTGCGGACTTTTCTATCCAGGGCGTTAAGTTCAGTCTGAGTCCACCTGAGTATGCCAAAGGTATACATGAGGACAGGCATGACCCAGCCGTTATATGCGTGTGTCTTATTCACACCGGACAAAAGGCTGTTAAGCACTTTGGTCAAGCGTGCGTGTATTATT